CTTTATGGCCTTGTAATGACTATGAAATAGTCAGTCTTATTTTCTTTATGGCCACAAAGTTCAGTGGAATCAACATAGTATATTTCATTACGAGAACAAAATGAAAAATGTATAACTAGAAATGTTGCAAACACATGCTGGTCGATACAATGGTTCCCTTCCGGAACCTATCCGATGATTGGCATTGCCACCGAAGCCGATGATCAATGATGGGTCATAAATATTTTTTGAATTTAAGTACATACATATTAATAATATAAATTTATTAAAATAAAAAAATCATATTATAAATGAGTCCAAACTAAAAATTAAATTTTAGAGTGGAGAACTATTTGTAAATCATATTATGTTGAGAATATGCAACTTGTGCTATGCTAACTGTTAAGCATTCAGATTCGTTAAGCTTTGAGGGTACAAGGATCCTGGCAGTTCCTCATTTAAGACTACTGATTTCATAGTTTTTAAAGGTTTTCTCTCATATTAAGGTTAAAAAAATAAATATTAAAAGATTAAATAAATAATTATTAAAAAATATATAAAGGTTTAAAAAATAATTAGAGTGCATAAAAAGAACTAGATATGAGAAAAAAATGAAAAATGTATAACGATTAGTTTTGTCAAGAAACCGTAACTAACCTCAGACGTCGAAAAATTTACTGTTGAAAGTTTGGAAAGATAAATTTGATTGGGGATTTCTCTCTTATTCTTTTTTTAGCATGTGTGTATAATATTATAAATGCTGGTCTTACCTGTGACTTGATGCAGGAAGACTTCTGTAGTTTCCCGGTCTTCTGTAACGATACAATCAGTATGTGCACTGCAAATGGAGGAAAAAATATGCATATGGACACAAGAGACAATGTTATACAAAATTCAGTAAGAATACCAGCCAAAGTATACAAAGTTCAGTGGAATCAACATAGTCATATTCATGCATAGGTAAAATGTTCAAGGGAAAAAAAACAAAAATTGTCATTTCTCTGCCTTTTTTTCTTCAATGCCAAAGATGCAATAGAGTCAGTCACAAGTAAAGACATGCGAAACACAAGTGGACAACGGATAAGAGTTTTACTTTGTGGCTTATTTGTGATTCGAACAGGATACTGATACTTGATAATGCAGTATTGCAGGTACGAAGTAAAAATGACAAAAGGCGTAATTTCATAAAAAGTGATCATTTTCATTAATATTTCGTAGGTACAAAGTAAGAATATAGTACTAGCATGGAAGATAACAAAAGTCTAATCCTCAGCTAACTTCTAATTAGGCTTAATTTTGAATGCTAATCTAATAAGTTAATGAATAAAATACTTTAAAAATATGTGAAGCGAATGTTATCTCATTGATATATGTTTACTGCAATAGACAAGATAATGAAGCAACCAGACACTTTTGTAGGCTAACTAAGGTAAGTCAAACCTTTGAAAACACAATGCAACAGAGACATTCACTTCGAAACTTCCATTAAACCTTAAATCCTCAACATTGAAGCTTGCAAAAGAAGCACATCACTAAAGAACAAGAAACGCTTTGAAACCCCAATATTTTCAAGATTATCTTTTCACTAAGACCCAAGTCCCCAGCAAGAGAATTACAGTGACCAAAAGTTAAAACCCCACCAAAGCAAAAAATTAAAATCACAAAGTGTTTCACTTCACTCGTTACTCAAAATAAAGGTCAGATTTTTGTAACCCACAACTTGGAGAAGAAAGTATCAAAATGGTAAAAACCCAACAAAGTTTCCCATTTTTTAACAGTCCAAAAGCTTTTTTTCCATTTAAAAACACAGACCACGAGAAAAATCCGTGAACAGTGAAACATAAGCTATATAGAAACCCAAGGTTGCATTTTTTAATGAGAAAAACACTGTAATCTGCACTGTTGTGATAAGTTATGAACGGTGATTTGAAAAAAATCTATATACAAACTGAGGACACAACTATTCCGACTCGGATGCGAACAACTCGGATGCTTTAGGGAGAATAACATTACTCTCGATGAATTCTGAAAAAAAAAGTTGAATGGTCTCAAAGTGTGGTGAATTTGTACCTTTTTCTGGCAGGTTTTCCCTAATGGTTTCAATTATTTGTTGACCGCATCAATCTTCTTCCTCACTACGACAACTTCCTTTCTCATGGGATCTGCTAGTGCTTCAAGCTCATGAAATATTTACATGGTTTTATAAGGCACTCTTTATCAAAACCAAAACCTCGCGAAATTTAAAACAAAAAAAAAAAGAAGAGAAATTGAGCAGTGAAATGAAGGGCGAGAGAGAAAGGTTGGAAGTGAAGGGAATTGGAAAGGATTGAAGATAGTAAAAGGGTAAAATGGTAGATCAGAGAAAGTTCAAGAGAATTCTAAAGCAATCAGAAGAAGAAAGTTGTAACTTTTAGGTGTTTCTTCTTCTTCTAGGGTTCGGACGGAGAGAAGGACGCGAATAAAATTTCCCCCTTTTGTATTCCCCTTCAGGTTTTTGGGGTTTAGCTTGGCTTCTTTCGTTGGATCTCGGGTTTCATCTTCTTGGATTTGTATTCCAGGTTCATCTCTAGAAAAAATGAAAAATGGTTAAAAAGGGTGTGGGACTTGGAAACCATAACCTTGCATCATTTGTATTTACAAGCGCCACTAATGTACTAATAAATTGCGACGTTTATTCAAAAAACGCCACTAAAGTACGGGTCTTTGGCGGCGTTTGTATAAAAACGCCATTAAAGTACGGGCCTTTGGCGGTGTTTGTATAAAAACGCCACGAAAGTACGGGTCTTTGGAGGCGTTTGTATAAAAACGCCACTAAAGTATGGGTATTTAGCGGCGTTTGTTTAGAAACACCACTAAAGTATGACTCTTTGGCGGCGTTTGTACTTAAAACGCCACTAAAGTAAAGTATTTAGCGGCGTTTATACAAAAACGCCACTAAAGTATGATCATTTAGCGGCGTTTGTGCATAAAACGCTACTAAAGTACATTATTTAGCGGCGTTTATACAAAAGCGCCACTAAAGTACATTATTTAGCGGCGTTTATACAAAAACGCCACTAAAGTACAGAATTTAGCGGTGTTTATATAAAAACGCCACTAAAGAACAAGTATTTACCAACGTTTGCTCAAAAAACACCACTAAATGTGTCGCTAAAAACCCATTTTGCTATAGTGAATGATAAATGTATGTGAAATTAATTAATTTGTACACAAAATTTGAATCTATATTCTATGACATGCGAATTTTTATGAGTAGGAATTAACAAAGTGTTCCCACTTTGCAACCAGTTGGAACTTAGTTGTAAATTTTTTTCTTAATTAAGATTAAGAGATAAAATCTTCATCATCAAGACAATATTAGGGGTTTTGAAAGATTTAAAATTCCCCCACAAAGATAAAATATGTTTAAAGCATTTTGAGAAACGTCGTCCAAAACTACATGTTACCACAATTTCATGATCTGAATTAAACTAAAGTTGTGCGGTGTAATTTAATTATGATATATTTAATTTTATAATAAGATTACAAACAACACGTCCCATGTGAAATCGTATTCGATGAACCGTCGTTTGGCAGTGATGCAAAATTGCTCGGATTCTTTTTTATTAAAGTAGTTTAAAAATCCAGAATATTATTATACACTTGAATAAAAATATAAAAAGTAAATTTGATTTTTATTATATTTTTTAAATATATCCCTTATCCAAATTATAATTAGCCCGTTTGGGGTGGGGGTAGGGCTGTAAATGAGACGAGACAGATCACGAGCTACTCGAGATCGACTCGATCTGGTCTCGATAAATACTCGGATCGAATGGACTCGACTCGAGCTCGAACTCGACTCGAGTTCTTAACGAGCCGAAACGAGCTACTCGATATTCGACTCGAAAAACTCGTGAGCAGCTCGAAAAAATATTATATTATAATTTTATATTTTTTAAAATTACATTATTAAAATATATTAAAATACATTATTGATGAATAAATATTCTTGAATTGAAAATGGTTAAATTATTTTGAATAAATATCTTATATTATTTTAAATTGATAAAAAATTATTTCTCTAATGACAAATATTTAATATATTTCTAATGAAAATATTTGTAATAACTGATTTTTTAAATTGTTGTTATATTTTGAGGTTTTGGGTTCAAATATCATAAATATCAAGGGTTTGAGCATTTAATATCAAGATACTATATTATACTTACCTCATAACTAATTATGTGATAAGGTTTAGGGTTTAGGATTTAGAGTTTTAGGGTTTATGTGTTAGGGTTTAAGTTATGCCATGAAGGTAACATACAAATTATGCAAAATGATATTATGTGGCTCATAAATAAATTATTCACATACTTATACATAAACATATCAACATGCAAATTAAATATACATAACTAATTAAAGAAAACAATCCTAAACAGAGACTAAATTAAGAAAATCTAAATGTGAGGACTAATTTAAGCTAAAATTTAAATAATTGAGGGACTGTTTTGTACAAAACGCATAAATCTAGAGAGCCTAAAGCTAATTTACCCCTAAGGATCAAATTCGAGTTCGAGCTTTAATCGAGTTCGAGCTTGAATCGAGCTCAAAATCGAGCTCAAAATCGAGCTTCAATCGAGCTCGAGTCTCGAGCTTCAATCGAGCTCTTGAATTTTTTTTGAGTTCGAGCCTTTTCGAGTTCGAGTCGAGTTTTAATATTATCTTTCGAGTTCGAGTCGAGCTTTAAAATTTTAGGCTCGCGAGTTTTCGAGTCGAGTCGAGTCTACATTTAAAGTTTTCGAGTTTGAGTCGAGTCGACAATACTCGAACTCGACTCGGCTCGTTTACACCCCTAGGTGGGGGGATAATTAGTGCGTAAAAGAAGGGAAAAGAGAAGCTACGACGGTTAAATGAAATCTGTGAGCAAAGAAGCCCATTAATTATGCCAGTCCATTTGACTAACGAGCCCAAGAAAGAATGAAATGGCTTTTAGTTAAGACCATGGACTCCATGGTAGAATTGCAGTTTAGTCCCTTGGCATTTAAAGTTTTGTTAGAACATGGTAATTCTACATCCTCCTCTCTTCCAATTGTGATCATACACGACAATTGGACCTTCTCCACCGTCCCAGTGGTCCAATAATCCACAGTTAAAAGAAGAAAAAAGTCGTTTATACCGTTTACCGCCAAACCCCCCCCCCAACGGGCAAACCATCTTCTCTAGCATGTCCAAAACCAGATCCCCCAAGTGGAAGTGAGGCAAAAATTCTGACATTACCCAAACCCTCGTACTTTGACCTCAGAGTCAACTCCAACTCATAGCAGTTACCGTCTCTTATGTACATACATACATCTGTGGGGTCAGTATGATGAAATCCTAATGTGCAGTCCATTTGGTGCTTCGACTCTTGGAAAATTTATGAGCTCCTCTCCCCCTACTTCTTCCCACCTGAACTCACATCAACAATTCCATTACTTTAACCTCTTTAAAACATATATAATGAACACTGATTTATTACCTGTATCTAGTTACAAAATAATGAAGGAAGGTAGAGATTTCTGCAATTCCTAGTTCCTTTCCAGGACACTGCCTGGTGCCTCCTCCGAATATCAGGAAATTACTTTGACATTCCAAGCCCTTCTCCTGCAATGAAGGCTAACCATCCATAATCAATACTAATTTAAATAAACAAGGAGGAAGGAGATCGTTGATTACCAACCATCCATCTCCAGGGATTAAAGGCTAATGGATCAGGATATGTACAAGGATCATAGTTTATCTCTCTTGTATATACATAAATTCTCCAGCCTTCAGGAATCACAAATCCTGCAAAAAAACAAATCTTTTGCCAAGTGAAATCCCAATAATTTGGCTAACTGAGTGACTACCTAAAAGTTTCAAAAGAAACCAAGTTTAATCTGGTTAAAAAAGCTTCCTTTCTTTTAAAAAAATCATTGAAAATAAGATCCAGGGGATTGCCTAGCTGGATTGGTAGGCGTTCCAGTTAAATCATGATAGGTAAGGTCCACAAAGAGAAGATCATTTCATGTCCACAAAGTGCACACTAAGATTAACAATTAAATGGATCCCACAATGCTCACCATTTAGTTCCATTTCTTCAGTAGTTTTCCTTAAAACTCCGTTAACAATGGTTGCTAATCTTGATGTCTCAAAAATCACCTGCATAACAAAACCAAACACATTCAGTAAACTTTTCTTTACAAATTTTAATGATTAAAGAAGAATGGTTTGTTGGAAAAAAGGATACAAATTTCTTACAGCTCTAGTAAACTTCATTGGCTTAAGATCATTCCATTCAATTGGATCCTCTGGCCTTTTCTTTTCTCTAATTTCCATATGTTCTTTCTGAAATATTTTCAGCAAGTCAAAAGGCATGGAACAAAGACTTGAAGAACAATTAAAAGATAAAGAAAAGAATGTTCGTTTTCTCTTTTGTTACTTACTCTTAGCTCTTCGAGAACTCTTGGATGATCATGGAGATACTTGACGGCCATCATCGATGTAGTCGAAACAGTCTCGTAACCGGAATACAAAATCGTGATTATTTGATCAATGATCTCATCATCACTTAGTTTGTGTCTATTACTATCATCTTTTCTCATCAAGCACCCAAGCATGTCCTTGTGGGGTTCTTCAGAGTATCTTCTCTCTTCTATGAGTTGTCCTAATATTCTCAGAATATTTTTCCTTGCCTGCAAATCATGGTCAAAACATATTAATCTAATTGGAATATAAACCACAAAGACTGGATATATGAGTCGAAACGCTTGTCAAATTTCACCTCAAGTCCGCCTCGATAATTCGAACGGGGAAGATCGATAGGAAGGGATAAGGTCCCCAACACCAGCTTAAAGAATTCAGGCATGAATTCCTGAGCTACTGAAGTGGATTCAGCAGTGGCAATTTGCTTAAGAGACGATAAAAATGCCATCTATAACAAAATATCAGACCAAAAGATGAGATTAGAAACAGAGGTGCTATGAGCAAAAACACCTGCTGTCTGTATGAATTTGAGTGTGATACAAACCTCTTTGGTCTTTTCCTGTATGTCAATGACTTTGTTTTCCCAATTACAGAGGAAAGTTCTCATGAATTCATCTATCTTGGGCAAGAGTCGTTCTCTGATCATAGTGGGACTAACGAGGGAAAGCAAAGCTCGTCTCATTAGCTTATGAGTGGAGCCATGAACCGCTGCAATGTTGCATTTCCCCAAGATATCAAGCATGGATTGTGGGTAACCAGGAACAAGCCCTTTGGCTTCATTCATTAGGATATATCTGTTGAGCTCTGGATCCATGGAAACTGCCGTAGGACACCCCAGTATATGGGATTTGAAGAAGCTGCCATACCTGTTTGTAAACAGAAACAAAGCACACGACTTTAGAACATCAACTAGCTTAGCTGTTTCATTAACAAATATTAAGATACAAGTAATAACCTTGCTCTTCGGTTTTTCATAAAGTTGGGACCTTGCTTGAGAAACTCAGTGGTTTCACCAAAGATTGGCCAGCCCATGGTACCAGGTGGCAAACCTTTCTTACTGTATCTCAGCTCATTCCATCTCAACAAAGCAGTGCAGATAGAGACGACTAAGACAAACAACAACCCCAAAATTATCATGAAAGGAGCCATTGTTTTACTCCAAATAAAGCTCTGCAAATGGGTTATGGAGGGGGCTTCCTCATAAGTATAAAAGGGCACACATATATATAGACCTGTAAAGTGTAAACCACTCCCACAGTCCCTCCCACCCCCCTCTATGCGTAGTCATTGACAGATAGAAGACATATAGGCCGAACCATGCAGCTCATTAAGATAGGAGACCCTACCCCTTGAAAGATTTTAAGGAAGTATATTTATTTTAAACATTGTTTTTAAAACTGCCTATAAGCAAAGCAACTAACCCTCTTGACTAAACCTAGATTTTGAATCTTAAACATAAAATAATGAACAGAACATGCAGATTAAGACAGAACTCAGTCTTCAAGAATCCAAGGCATGAATGTTTGATTGTCAAGTTGTGGGATTTAATAAAATATATATTATGATGAGGAATTGTTGTTGGTTTTTACAAAGAAATGATTTGGATATAATTGGAATGAGAAATAGATGAAAGACGTAACTAGTTCAGTCAAAGGTAAAAAAGGAGAGGGAGGGGTAGGAAAATTGCTTGAAGAGGGCGAGAAGCACATGCATACCACCCCATTGGACCTAAAAGTATGTAGTTATACATATACATGTACACATATATCCAAAGCCCCAGTGCTTCACATGTCTGTCAACAATATCTGTTCATGGATATACAAAAAAAAAACTCACTAAAGGACATCCTCTTGCTTACCATGTGAATAAGTGGAGAAAGGGGTTTGGTTCCATTGTAACTGTTGATTTCGAGCTTTGAATGCTCCCTTTGGCGAAGTGCAATGGCGCTGTAATTCCATGAAAACTATGCTATTTAGAATTTGGACTCTTCTTCTTCTAAGTTTTGAAATTTATCAGTGTCTTTTTTGTCTTCAGTTTTTTTTTCCTCAACAGAGATAAATAAAACTTGGAAAGGCCATAGTATTTAGGACTAGATTAATTCCGTGAAGGAGTTGGATTCTTTCGATTTGTTTTGTTATTATACGGTGCGTGCTGTACGTTTGGACTTTTTCCTTCCGAAGGATCTTGAAAGAGATGTTCTTTCATATAATTTACCATCAAATTTTGGACAATCATTTCATTCGTACATTGCTTTAAACATGAGGGAGAGATAATGAGGTAACGTTTAGTCGGTAATCTTTTTAACTTATTTTTAATGTTTTTATTATTTTAATATTTGAAGTTGAGACAATTAACATACATATTGACAATGACAATTTAATAACTAGTTAAATTGAATATAAATAATAAAATGAAATATTGTTCTTCTTAAAGATTTAGAGTTTGAACAACTATGTATAAAATAAGTTTTCAATGACTTTAAGAAATTTAAAACATATGTTATATTGTGATTATCTTATACTATTAAAAAAACTAACTATAATATAATACATAAAGCACCTAATGCTACTACAACAATGTTTAACACGTATTAGTGTCGCATTTTATAACTTAATTTAGTTGTAGGAATGTAATGTCATTACTTGTATATATTATTAATAAATTATTAATATAGTATCATAAAAAATAAGTTTATTTATAATGGTATATCATCTGATTTATACATAGGTAACACATTAAATACTCATCCGAAAATGACGTACACACTAAAAAATAACAAAAGGAAGTGGTATTTACATGATCAAACAGAAAAGGAAGCATGCTTTAAATTTAAAAAGTGCACAATGGAAAATTTGGAGGTGTGCATTAAGATGAGATATTAGGGTACACTAATCACATCATACCACTAAAGAAAGATTGTGGGTTTGGAATTTTGCTAATTGATTATCTTTCGATATATACTGTTTTGTTTGCATGAAGATCTTAATGCTTTTTATTGATTGGAATATTAATATGGTACGAGACAACAAATCCAACCGTTTCCCTTAATTTTCCGAAATTATAGGGAAATTTTGTTCTCATCTTTTAAATAATATATGGAAAAGTTTCGGGGCATCGAATAGCTGCTTTTTCAATCCTTCAGTTAGGGCAAAATGTGTGCCTTAAAATGCTTCCTTCAAAATTATTGTCAACGAAAGATCATTAGTATAATTTAGAGAAAAAATAAATGCAATTAATATATTATGCTTCACCGACTTCATTCAAAATTATTATCAACCAAATGATCGTCTAAACTGAAGCCTAAAATAAGTTTTATTATTGGGCACTCCATTTTTTAAAATTAAAAATAAAAATCGTTTTAAGGTGTTTTATTTAAATATCACGGTTAAAAAATATTTTGATATATATATATATATATATATTGTTAATTCACCGATTTTTTTTCTTTTTTAAAAGGTAAATCTGTTACGCGTGTCTTATAGAAGCTGTGTTTAATAGATGTGGCACTCCTTCCTCTCTCCTTACTTTTTCAGGATCAGAGTGAAAAAGAATTTAAAAAGTATAGAAATAAAAATTTTAAAAACTAAGATACATTAGTGCATTTAGGGATGTAAATTGGGTGGGTGGATGCGAGATGCAAGACTAAAACCCAAAGGCAAAAGGGTGTTTAAGGCCATCAATCTTTTCAAAAGAATTAATATGGCCCTCCACTCTTTTTGCACCCAATGTGGCCCTTCAATTTAGAAAAATTAATGTGATTCTTTGACCAACGTTTTCTCTCGTTGACTAACAGGTTACATTACTTCGTGCTGAAGTGTCACTTTAAGTTGGCCAACATCCTATTTTTTCTCTCAATCTAATCTTTCTTTTTCTCTTATATTTTGATCACTAAAATTTAAAAGTTTTCAATTTAATCACTTAACTTTTGAATTGCTCATATTTTAATTATCATGATTTATTTTATTAATATTTAAATATGATGTGACATTTTTCAACCAAAATTTTATTTTTTCCCTTTCATTACCAGATTTAATGAACCCATATAGAACTTGTAAAAAAACTGAAAAATTGGGGATAAACTACTTGACCGGGTAAGGAAAGAAAAAATAGAAATATTTGGTTGAAAATGAAGAAAAATGAAATGAGAGAGTAAAGGAGGAGAGTGGAGATTTGGAAATATATAAAGCATAGAGAATATTTTGTAATTTAACTATAATTGAGAATGTTTTTTATTTCAATATAATTTTTAAAATTTAATTTAATTAATATTATTTTAATCATATATTAATAAAAAGGGTATAATAAATTTCACATCATACATAAATATTAATAAAATAAATCATGATATTCAAAATATGAGTAATCCAAAATTTGAGTGATTAAATTGAAAACTTATAAAGTTTAGTGACTAAGATAGAAAAGAGATAAGATAGTTAAGTAATTAATGATATAATTTTCTCATTTACAACAACATTAAACAAACGGTCAATGGTCACATTGAGTTATTTTCTTGAGTTGGAGGCCCATATTGAAAGAAAAAAATATGATGTTGGCCTTCTTAAAATGATACATCAACACAAAGTAATAGAGTCGTTAGTCAAATGATCACATTAAATTTTTTTCTGACTTAAAAAGCCACATTAGTTGCCAAAAAAAAATAGGTCACATTAATTTTTTTATTGTTGAAAAGTACGAGGACCTTAAGAACTATTTTATCAAACCTAAAATCATTACACGCACGACTGAAATTATATCCTCCCTATCATATCTGTGATTATGTGAATATTGAGATTCACTTAATCTCTAGTTTACCAGAAATTATTTCAAAGATTCTAGTCACCACGTTAACTATAATCTTAATGGATCATACCCGTTAATTTTAAAATAACTTACAAAAAACAGTCTACTCATAAAAAAATTAAATTATATATTTTTAACATATTTATCTTAAAAGCCACGTTTAGTCAACCATGCCTTTTACATAAATTAAAACATCTTCTGAAAATTACCGACTAACCTATTACGTAAGATAAATTCATCCTTTGTTAAATATACTTTAATTTGAAATGTAATTTTAAAAATTAATAAAAATTTATATGTACTAGATTTATCAAACATTGTCTTTTAGAAGAAAAAAATATATTTTTCTTTTATTGGTGTGTCACTTATCTATTTTTTCGTCTTTGTTGATTGACGGTTATATCAACTTTAATATTAGTTACTAATAGCTGACAATCTTTATTATTTTCTCTATATTATATCTTATTTTTTTTCAATAAGTCTGCATGTGTTTAGGGATGAGCATGGAACCTAAACTCAACGCGTTCCGATCGGATCCAACCCGATTTGGTCGGGGGTTTTTTAATTTCGGGTTCAAATCGGGTTGGGTTGGGTTTTTTTAAGGTGATGTTCAGGTCGGGTTAGATTCAAGATTAGGGTGAAAATACCCGATCCGACCATACCCAAAAAATATATAATTTTACCTTTTATATTTAGGAATAATTACAATAATAACCGTCTATATATTATTATTTTTCAATTAAATCATTTTTTTATTGAATAAAAATAATATTTTTTATTATTTCGGGTCAGGTTGAATCGGATTTTATCTCAAAAAAATCGGGTCGGGTTCGGTCTGGTGGAGGGTATATATTTTCAGGTCGAGTTGGGTGAAGGATGTAAAATTTTTCGGGTTGGGTCGTCCCTACATGTGTTGCACGTTTTCATCTGTCTTTTTGGCACGTTTTCTTTCTTTTTTTGACATGTTTTTCGGATTTTTGGCCCCCGACTCTTATTTGATATTTTGTTGATCTTTCCTGCTTTGGACTATGGATGGCAAAAAAACCCGAACCCGACGGGGAAAACCGAAATCGAATAAACGGGGACGGGGACGGAGAAAAACCGTTTATGCTAAACGGGGATGGGGACGGGGAAAAACTGTTTATGCTAAATGGGGCCGGGAACTGGTTTGGTAATCCCCGCCCCGATTACCCGCCCCAATACCCGACCCGATACCCGACCCGATAAATATTAAAAATAATTATTTTATATATATTTAATTTAAATATATATACCCGGCCCGATACCCGTTTAAATAACCGTTTATGCTAAACATGGATATCTGTTTCCCCGCGATTTTTCTGATTACCCGATGGGGATTCTCATTTAAATCCCCGCGGTTTTTTAAGCGGGACGGGTACAGATTTTTTAAATGGGGACGGGGACGGGGGAGCAATACCCGACCCAACCCGGCCCGTTGCCATCCCTACTTTGGACCCTTATATTGGATTTAGATACCTGATTTGCGTTTAAATAACTAACGAT